CCGGGACCAGGTCGAAGGGGCTCACAGAGGGTGGTAGGGGGTTTAGGATGCTCACTGATGCTCGCTTTTGTTCCTTTGATGCCCTTTTGTTTTTTCAATTCGTGACACAACGCCGCAGACCTACAACAGGCACTTCATTGTGCGTACGGTATTCGTGGCTCCTGCTATTAGCTAGCCGTCTGGAGGCTTTGCCCGACGTGGCTTGTGAGGCGCGCCGCACTGTGACGAGAGCACGATTCGGCCCCTGCCGGGGCACGGCACGTTCTGTGAGGGTTTAGGATGGGCCGAACACGGCCACATGAAACGGCCAGCAGATTTTGGAGCCGACGTGTGGCCAAAACGTCCAGCCAAGGCTTTGTCGAGTCGCTTTGCACGATTGTGGTAGAGCACGATTTGGCGGGGCATAGTTCGGTGCAGATTGGTTCCACGGACCGGGGGTTTAGTATGCTGTCTCGCTTGCTCGATTTTACTCGTTCACGCCATCGTGATTTTTTGCATGCCCGTAAAGGTAGTCTAGCGGAGTGCTTTTGCTGCTGTTCTTTTTTTGGGTTCATCCGGGTTTGTTGGCAACCTAGCCTGTCGGCCCTCGTTGGCCACTTGCCGAGTTTCTTGAAACTAGGCGTCAATGGCGTGGCTCAGACGGGTTCAGAGCGGAAGCAGGACTTGGCAGGTGCAGTGTTAGACGGCTCCAATGATGCGCTTCGCTGTGCGGACTTGCCGACTCGCAGCGCAGCGACGGCTCGCCCCAACTTTGCCACGACACAGCCGGCTTGCGCAGAATCAGGCTGGGAAAGGTAGGAGCCAGTGCCGGTGCAGGAACTTGCGAGGTGTCTAGCCGCGCCCTGGCAGGACACCTCTTCCGCGCAGGCTGACCGGTGTTCAGACGGATAGTGTGGGTTTTGAGCATGGAAGAGTAGCAGTAGNNAGGTTGGTGAACTCAGAGTCAGCCGAATGAGTAGGAATGTAGTTGTTTCGCCCACCATTGACACTGCAGGCCCAGGACGAGTTGGCCGAGCGGCCCGCCAAGGAGAAGGCGCGCTGTCTGAGAGCGCTGCTTCTGGACTGCACTCGTGCTTGATGCCTCAGGCCAGCTCCGACCGGCCCCGCGCTCAGTTGACAACG